GATTGCGTACACCAGGTATAGCTCGAGGGTCATGTCGGACGTGGGGAGAAAGGGGAGGTCCACCTTCGTGCAGAACGTGCGGAACTTGGCCCAGTAGGGTTCGTATGTTCGAATCGTCGAATCGGCGCGAGATCGCGAGATCATGTTGATGAGTTGGTCGTGTAGTTTTGGGAGCAATTCTGAACACAAAGCGTATTGATGATCAATTAGTCGAATATTACTCGAAGTGCGATAATTGGACTTTGCGGTAGTCTGGCGCCGGAGAAGGCAGCGGAGTGTGTTCCTGCTGCTAGGCATTGGCTACCGTGCGTTAGAGGATGTGCGCGTGGATGTGCGACGCCCAGGTGCGTGGAAGGGGTTGCAGGAGTGGCCACCAATTTGCACCCGGCCAGTGCGGGACGATCAGTGTGAGCGATGCGTGGGTTCGCTGTGCGAGGTGGAGGACAGCTGGAACCATGTAAGGGGGGGGGAAGGCAAAGCTGTTTTCTGACGTCCATGCGAGCGAGAACGCATCGATTGCTGTGGCCTCTGGGTGGGAATCTTCGTGCAGAAGCGTGGCAGTTGGGAGTTGCGGGCGTTTGCGAAGAGGTCGATGGAGTGGGGACCCCAACGACGATCCAAGATGCTGAACCACGGCGCCTTCAATGAGTAATTGTCGTGATCGATTATTTTGGAAAGCTCATCGGCGTGTGAGTTTAGCTCACGCGGAATCCATTCGATGATCAATCGTGTTTCAAGCTCCATGCATGTCCGGATGATCCCCTGGCAGGTCGCGGTAAGGTCTAGACTGCGGGAGCCGCCTTTTCTAAGAATGAAAAAGACGCCCTGATTGTCCACCCGCACGAGTACGTGTTTCTTTTGAATCTTGTTGGCGTACGTTTGTAACGCCCAGAGGACACCTTCGATCTCCCTCCGTGTGCTGGACGTTGCTCGCAGCAGCTCTGGCATGGTTGCGCTGGCTTCTTCGAGGCCACCCGGGAATGTGGTCAAAGTGGCGCCCCAACTGTGAGCGCTAGCGTCAACATGGATTACAGCGTCATAGCTGTTTCGAACGTGAAATGGTGCACCATTGAATCGATCAAACTCTTCAAGCCAGAAGTGGAGCTCCTCAGCTGCAGATCGAGGGATAACTACACTGCTTTCCATGAGGGTGCGTCATTGATCACTTGTAACATGGCGTGGCTGAATGCGCGAGCTGTTGCGCCAAGTGCGACTCCCATTGATACGAGCATCCCTGTGACTCTGGCCACGTGGCGGACGGGGACTGGCCGGGGTGCCTGGCTTGCGCCCAATAAGTTCCGAAGTGTGGCGTGCAGTGAGGCTCGTCGGTCTAAACCGATGGAGAATCGGCCGGTGTCCGTGTCCAGCTCCACACCCAAGAAGCGCAGGTGTTGTGATGGTGTCAGCTGCGATTTCTTCGCGTTTATCACCAAACCTGCAGCTTTAAGGTCCAGTATTACGCGATGGCATATCGCTTGAGCGTGGGCTTCTGACTGGCAGAGGAATAGAATGCCGTCAACATATGGTACTACTCGAATGCCTTGTTCCCGCCAGCGTCGGGCTAGCTGCTTGATGAGTTGTGTGAATACAAATGGGGCTGTCGTGAGACCGAACGGCAATGACCGGAAAGAGTAAGTGCGCCCCTCAAATTCGAAGCCGAGGAACTTCCAGCACGCGGGGTGGATGTCGATGTGATGGTACCCGGATTTGAGGTCAATGGAGAACATCCAGTCCCCAGCGCGTGCCAAGTCTGCCACGCGGTTGAGCCCTTCGTACTTGAACTTTGGGATGATTAAGTTGGCATTGACTTTCCTCAAATCGAGAATGAGCCTGCATCTTTCTCTTTGCTCGACCACGTTGAGCGGACTGATACATGTGAGCTCCCCTGCAGCCGTCTCAACCGCCGCTCCGGCTTCCGTGAGTTCTTGGATGGCGGTACGTGTGAATGTAGCATGCGCGTATGCCCCGGCGTGGTTGCGCTCCCGGAAGGGCTGTGGTGGGCCATGGCTCCATGGAAGCCAGTACCCCTTAGCGATTATGGAGAGGACGAGGCTACAAGGGCACCATGAGCTCCACCATGCGAAGGTCGAGCGCAGCCGACCGCACATCTGTGTGACGGTTTTGTCAGTGACAGCGAGCTTGTACGGGTCGCCGTCGCGTGACACCTCATATTGTTGTGCGCCTGTATATTTATGGCATGGCAATAAAATGGCACAGGGTATCGCATTCCTTAGTCAATGCATAAGCCGGCCGTGTGCATGTATGTGTCAAAGATAACTCGACAAAATATGAATAATGCTAACGGTTTTCCGTCATGCCATAGAGGGCTTGTGCGAATGTGTTGCATGCCAACCGACGTATGGGTATGATCCCCCCTCCGTTTCACGGATATCTCTCTCTCTCTCTCTCTCTCTCCTCGCGTCTCTCCGCTCCCTCTCTCGTCTCCTCTCCTCTCTCCTCCTTCAGCTCTCCTCTGCGAGTCTCACGCCTCTCCTCTCTCTCCCTCTCTCTCATCTCTCTCTTCTCTCTCCCCTCCCCTCTCTCTCCTCTCTCTCTCCTCTCTCTTCTCTCTCTCTCTCTCTCTCTCTCTCTCTCTCTCTCTCTCTCTCTCCTCTCTCGCCATGGTCATATTGTTATTTAGGGATGTGCATACCTCCCTTGCTTGGGCCCGTGACCTTCCGCACGTCCCCTCTCTTAAGCTCCCGCGCTTTCCTTTTCCTTATTTGTCATTGTACGCTTCATGCTTCTTTTGCCCTTTAGGGCCTGCCTCCAATAAGGCCGTGGCTGCCCAACCTTCCCGTAGATGGCAGCGGTAGTTCATATGAGAGCATGTGATGCGTTTTCTCATTCTCTTCTCTCTCATTTCCTCCTTTCCTTCTTCCTTTTTTATTTTTTTTCCACCAAGTAATGGGTCAAAAGTCCTTCAATTCATGCCACTAGCATGCCTTTCATCCCATCAATTGGGGCATACGGGGGACCGAGAGGCATTCTTCCTCTTCGCCAGCTACCGGTAAGCTCATGGCCCTTTTCATACTACCCTATCCTAGGGCTAGCCCATGGCCACCGCAAGCCCTAATAGGCTGCCCACGGCCTAAGCACTCGAAAGTGCACCGTGCATCATGCCCAATGGCACACTTGGCCCAATCCCGACCCCTACACGACGGGTGCGGGTCCTTGGCCTCCCTGCCCGTTCCGAGGGCATGCATTGGCGACGTGGCCTGGCTGGCCGCAGCGGAAGCACGAGCCGCGAAAGCCGCGGAAGCCGCCCGATGGCGGCGGTCCACGCTTTGGGGGGAACGCCGCCGCGCCGTGGTTTCCGCCTCGGTTGAAGCGAGCATGAGCGGCCGCGCCGCCTCGGTCCATGGCAGCAACGTCCGCGACTGCTTGCTTGAATGGCGCGCGAGGTGAGCAAGCTTTTCTCCAGGTACATCTTGTAGCGCTTGGTGACGTGTTCGTCGGCGGCATCCTCGACTTGAAACATGTCGAAGCGTGCCGCGATATCGTCGAGAGCGGCGACGACAATTTCGAGACCGCCCGCCAAATCGCCGTGCTGCAGCTTGAACTCCGTGTGCTTCAGGTAGGCCCTCATGTCCTCCAGGACCTCCGCTTTCGCCTTCACGTCCGGGTGGTTGAATGTCGCCGCCGACCAAGTAGTGTTGGTGTTAGAGGGGAGAGGGGGAAGGTGTTCCACGGAAATAAAATTTGGGGCATTGACTGGAGCCTCACCATTGTCGTCGTCGGAGTCGTCGGTGTCAGCGTCGGCAGCTGGCGCAGGTGGGGTGTGGCCGCTGCTTCCTTGTCGTGCCGGTTCGCCGTTGTTCCTCGCGCTCCTTTTTGTGTTTTTGCAGTTTCCTTTTTTGCAGAAGCAGAGGCCGCTGGCAGTTTGCAGTTTCCGCAGCTGTAACGCTGACGGGGCTGCTGCTGTAACAGGGACAGAAGTGCGGCGATTTGGTCCGGAGTCAACGCCGGAGTCAACGCCGGGGTCGTCGCGTCAGACGTTGAAGCAGTTCGGCGCCTCTGGCGCTGACGCGACGGTCCAGCCACAGGCGCTGGCGCGTGCTGTGCGTCAGGCGCGTGTGGCGCCACAGGTGCTGCAGGCGCTTTCGTCGCCACTTGCGCCACGGGTGCCTCAGGCGCCACTGGCGCCACAGGCGTCGAAGGGTGCTGCTGGAGGGGGGTGCTCGAGTCTTTGTTAACCTCGAGCCCGCCCAACAACACATCCACTGCAGTCGGGGCGGGCGATCCTTCCTCTGCCCGCCGCTTGTTACGGCGTTCGCCCGTCAATTCTCGGGCGTTACGGTCGGGGTCGGAAGTCGGGGCCGACGAATTGCCGCGGTTAAGTGTCGGCGTAGACGCCATAGTTGAGCGATTGTAGGTAAAATGTCGCGCAGTAAACTTGAGGGTGAAACGCCTCTCGGTAGGCTGCGAGTTCTAGCCAGCTTGGACGGAAGCAAAAAACTACTCGAACGGGAATGTTGATAGAGCCGTTGAAAATAGAGAAACGTGGGTGGAGGGAAATGAACTCCAACCCACGGTTTTTGTAGTTGGAGAAGGGCGTTTAGCGCGCTTCGACGCTGCCAAATATTCGGTACAGGCAGCTTCGCTTTCACAATACACAATTTTGAAAAACACGAATGTGTTTAAAAATTTTAATTACGCGACAGACTCTACCACCCACATTCCTACGAAATTCGAGAAACCCTAACGCAGAAGTAATCCTTGCGTCAGAGTGACCAATTCGTGCTTGAAAGTGTAGAAATTGGGTCGGTCGATCGGAGTTTTGGAATTCGAAATAGTGCTGACGTGGAGCACGAGTGGTCGACCGATTTGACACAAATCCGAAAACCGTCGAGTTGGGTGAATTTTCCAAAATAAGAATCCGCACGTAATAACACACTTATGAAAATCTTTAAACTTGAGGACGCGCTTACCGCAGCTCATACCCAACCAGCTCATACCACGCAAAGGAGTATGGCATCCAAGAACAAAAGCATCGCCGCTCAGAAGTTTCTAAGGACGCGTCGCGCCTCTCTGACGCCGGAGAGCAGGGCACCATGAACGGTGGCCTGGTACTGCCAGATGGTGTGCTCCCCCGCAAACAGCACCCTCCCCTCGGGCAGCGCCATCACATCATAGTCCGTGCAGTGATCCTCGTTCCCCCGCACGCCCACGCGCGCGTAGCTGTACGCGCCCCGCGAGTACGGTTCGGCAGTCCACCGCTGGATCCAAGTCGCCAGTGCTTCCACCGGCTTCTTGCGGTACTGCGGGAACATGCGGGCCATCTTTGCCTTGGCGTCATTAATCACCTCCTCATCGCTCATCGTAGCCACTCGCTCCGCATACTCCCCCAGAGCCACGCCTTCCAGTGCTGTCTGCCCCCACGCGCGCTTCAGGTTCACCCAGTCAACCCACCGCCCGCGATTCGCGGGCAGCTGCGAGTCCTCGATGAAATATTCGTCCACGTTGACCGGCCAGAAGGTCTGGTTGAAAAAGAAGAAGATTTTGGCGATGGCGCCCACGCCCAGGCGCGAGATTGCACCGGTTTTACGAGGGGGGAGCGGCGGGTTGAAGGCGATGGTGTTGGCCTTGAGAACTCCGAGAGGGATTGTTACGATAACCACATCAGCATCTAGCGTGCCGGTGGCGCCGCTAGCGGTGTTCTTTCCCGTGATCTGCACGCCGGTGGAGGACTGTGAGATTGCGGTGACTTCGAAGTTGAGCAGCAGCTTGGCTCCTTTTCCTTGCGCTTCCTGTGGTGGGTTGGCAAGGGAGGACAAGGATTGAGGGGGGTGAGAGTGGAATCGGGAATGGGAATGAGCTTTGCCTTTGCTGCTTGTGTTCTTTCCCGTGATCTGCACGCCAGTGGGGGACTGCGAGATGGCGGTGACTTCGAAGTTGAGGAGCAGCTTTGCTCCTTTTCCCTGCGCTTCCTGCCGTGGTTGGATTGGGAGGAGGGGGTTGAATGGAGCGAGTGATAACGGGGATGAGAATGGCTTAACCACAATCCGCACAAGCCCATTCTTTCCTCCTTCCTTCCCCATTCCGCTTTCCCCCTCTTCCCCACTAAACCCTAAACCCTGAACCCTGAGCGTCTTGGGGTCCTGTTGTGGTGGTTAGTAACCATCATCCTGACCAGCCACTTCCACTCATTCATGATCCCTTCCTTTCATCCCCACGCCCCCCACACACCCTCACCTGCATAAGGGCCTTAAGGGTATTTGTCATAGCTGTTGGGTAACCACCAGCCTGATCCCTGGGCCCCTCAGGACAACCCCATCCCAACCTCCCACCCCACCCCATTCCCCCTCTCCCCTGACTTGCATGAGCATTCCCCTCCCCCTCCCCCCTCCACCCCATCCCCCCTCCCCCTCCCTCCCTCCCTCACCTGCATGAGCATCTTGGAATGTTATCGTAGCCGTTGGTAACGACCATGTGGGCGGGTCGAAGGCATCAGAGTCATAGTACCAAGCTGACAGGTGTGAGAGGGCCGTGAATTCCATTCCATGCCACCCAGTCCCTGTCCCCCCTCCTCACCTGCATGAGCATCTTGGGGATGTTGTCGTAACCGTTGGTGACCACCATGGTGGGCGGGTCGAAGGCCTTGGAGTCATAGTACCATGCAGACAGGTGTGAGAGGGCACAGAGCAGGGCATGTGCTCAATCAACCCAAGCCACACTACCTCCACCACTGACCTGCATGAGCATCTTGGGGATGTTGTCATATCCATTGGTGACCACCATGGTGGGCGGGTCGAAGGCCTTGGAGTCATAGTACCAAGCTGAGAGGTGCGAGAGGGCCGTGCCAAAGTTGAACTCGTAGTCCACTGCCAGGCGGGACTGGGGAGCAGAGAAAAAACAAAACATAAGGGAAATATGAGTACAGGGACACGGATTGAAGCAGGTGGTACCACGCAGAGAGATGCGAGAGGGCCGCGCTAAAGTTGAACTCGAAGTCCACTGCCAGGCGGGACTGGGAACAGTACAGAGAGAAATGGAGGGAAAGCCGAACACAAAGGAAAGGAACTCAGTCCATGGCCAAGCGGGGTTAGGGAGCCAAGGGAGGACGGACGGAGGGGGTTGCAGGGAAGAGGGTGGAAGTAGGCGGAGACACAGGGCGGGTGTGAGTGAGAGAGGCATGAGCGGGAGGGGAGGGTTGAGAGCATAAGGCTTGTGAGCATCTGGTGCAGGCTCGCATCCTAGCCCTGCCCTGTCCTGCTGGGTTGTCCACGCCAAGCCGTGCCGCACGCACACACCATTCTTTGGGTCACCCTCTTTCCCCTCCCAACCCTTTCCACTCCCATTAACACTCCCCTTCCCTCTGCCCTGCCCCCCCTCCCAACCCCCTCCCTCCCAATTCCCCCCCACTTCCTCTCCTTCCCCCCACATCCCTTCTCTTCCTCTCCCCCCCTTCTTCTCACTCCCCATTTCCTCTGCCATTACCTGAGCATAAGGCTTGTAGAACATTTTCCGCTTCCAAGGCCCACTGGTGAACGCCTGCTGCAGGCTCACATCCTTGTTCTGTCTGCCAAGGCTTGCTCCAAGGACTCACCCATTATTCAAGCCACTCCCTTTCCCACTCCACAGCTTCCCTCTCCCTTTGCCACTCCCTTTCCCCTCTCTGTCCCCTCCCCTTCCCCCTCCCATCAGCCCCCCTTTCCCCATACATTTCCCCCTTCTATCCCCATCCCTCCCCTCCTCCTCCCCTCCCTCCCACATCCCCTTCTTCCCTTTTCCCCAACCCCCCTCCCCAACCACCACCTTACCTGAGCATAGGGCTTGTAGAACATTTTTCGCTTCCAAGGCCCACTGGTGAACGCCTGCTGCAGGCTCACATCCTTGTCCTGCTTGCCCGCCCAGCCAAGGCTTGCCGTACCAACGTCTGATACTCCGCCTCCGCTGCCGCCCACTCCGCGTCCCCGTACCTCCTCCCCTTGGCTGTGAACTGTATCTCCCGCCCGTTCTGCTGCCCGATGTTGAGCTTGAATTTCCGAGCCAGAGTGGTAACCGGGTTACCTGAGGTAGGGGGAGCAGAAGGGCAAAGGAGCAGCTCGGGGAAGGGCAACGGGAGACGGAAGGGGAAGCAGAAGGGGAGGCGGAAAGGAAGGGGAAGGGGAAGGGGAAGGGGAAGAAGAAAGGCAGGAGAAAGCGGGCGGAGAAAGGAGAGTAAGGAAGTGGCAAGGAAACGGTGAGGAACACTAAAGTCTGAGGGAATCAGAGTGTGTGTAGGAGTTTGGATAGTGTGGGGAAGGTTTGGAGTGTAGCGGTGGTAACCGGGTTACCTGTGGCGCCCTCGATCCACTGTGCGCCCATCTCGCCTCGCAGGAACGTGGTGGGCGAGCCGGCAGGGGCGGCCTCCGTTCGGCTCCACATGCGCCCGCCCACCCTGCCACGCGCCTCCACCACCGTCACCTGGGGGAGGGGAGGGGGAAGAAATACGAGGTTGTTAGGGTCCAAGGACAAGAACCCAGCCCACCCTGCCGCGCGCCTCCACCACCGTCACCTGGGGGGTGGGAAGAGGATGGGGTGAGCGGGGAATGGGGGAGGGAAAAAGAGATGAGAAGACCTGCCGCGCGCCTCCACCACCGTCACCTGGGGGGGAGAGGAAGGGAATGGGAAGAGGAAGGAGAAGGGAAAACCCTTCCGCGCGCCTCGGAGAATGAGAGAGAAGAGAGACTGTGAGGCTTCCACACCATTCTCTTCTCAGAAGAGACTGTGGAGAGACTGAGAAGAGAGACTGTGGGGATGGAGAGACTGTGAGGCTTCCACACCATTCTCTTCTCAGAAGAGACTGTGGAGAGACTGAGAAGAGAGACTGTGGGGATGGAGAGACTGTGAGGCTTCCACACCACATGCAACAGCCCACCTCGCCGCGCGCCTCCAGCACCGTCACTTGGGGGGCGGGGAAGTGGGGAGGGGAGGAGTTGGGGGGTGTGGGAGGGGGGAACAGCGGAGAAGGGAAGGAGGGGGAAACGGATGGTAAAACCCCTCGTAGGATGCGAAATTCTCTCTGAACGTCATCAAAAGTGTCAAGAAACGTCTCTAAAAAGGTGACAAAAATGTGACAATAAACCCGTCACATGACATCGTCCATCGTGCATATGCATATGGGCGCCCCGACCCTAAAGCATTCATTTTGCAAGGCGGCCGACGTACATTGAAGCGTTCGCCGCCGGTGGCGGTGACGATGTGGTAACTTTTGAGGCGTCTCAAACTCGCCCCAAGCATACGTATTAATAGATTTTGCACGGCCGAACGTACATTGAAGCATTCGCCGCCGCTGTGAGAGACGATGCGGTAAGCAGCCGAGACGCCCGACATTCCGGCGCCTACCACCACACCACCTGCCGCACGCGCGAGCACGCCGCGTCCGCCGCTCGCGGCGCGAGCAGCGCCGCCAGCAGCAGCAGCGGCACGAGAAGCGGCACAGCATCAGCATCATGATGATGGCGACGGGCCTGCGACGACGACGACGTCGACGACGTCGACGACGACGAGGCGGAGGAGGCGGACCATTGCGACGATCGCGGCCGTAACGCGCCGCGTTGAAGGTGACACTCGCTCGAGTGTCGCGGGTAGTACTTCTACTGGGGCTTGCTGAATTGCTGACGCGCGACGACGGCATTGCGACGGCGCGTCGCTGGGAAGAATGGGAGGGGTGTAGGTCAATAGAGAAACGGAAGGAAATGGAGACAGTCGCTCAATCGTTGAAGGGATGCTAGTAAGGGCAATAAGCTGTCAGAAGCTAGCCAGGCTGGTCGACATAGTGAGCTGGGCTGGGAATTATAGGAGGAACACTGGCTGAGCTGGGGTTGAAGCGATTCCTTCAGCTAGGGTGAAAGGAAGGAAGCCCTTTTTCGTCGTCGTAAATTTCTGGACAATTATTGTAGTCCTTTTCGCCCCCCTTGCTGCTTGTCTGCGATCGCGACGCGACCCGATCGAACCGAGCCGAGTGGTGCTCCCTTACCTTGTTCCTACCGTACCACAGGCAGGCAAGGCAAGGACCGGGGGTAGCGGCGAAAGGGTAGCGACACGCGTAACACGGGGAAGTTGGAATTTCGTGGGCGGGCCACTGGGAATGTCGCGATGCCGAATCGAATTTCCTCTGATTTTCCTCAGGCGCCCTCAACCTCAGTCCGACCAATTCCTTTCACCTCACCACACCTCCCCTTCACCCCAACCACGCATACCAAGCCCCCCGAACCTCACAACTTCGGAGAGCGTGTCGAAAACACACAGCCTTGGATTCAAGCATACTCGTTACACAGCGTTCCTAGTGTATCATCTACAAGACTGGTTACGGGTTTCGGCTATCTAAGAGGCATGATTATGAGGCAAGAAGCGAAGCCCAAAATGTACTTCAGATCTACCCTATCCGCCACACTGACACAATCCGTCGTGGCTGCTTCTGGCTGCGCCAGCAGACTTCTCAACCACCTCAACCCCGCCGAAACACCTCATTTATTCTGCCACGTCACGTGCCCCCTTCCTCCCGTCACGCGCACATCTACCCCTCGATATTGTCGTAGTCCCTGGTTACCACATCTACCCTCCAACACCCTTCTCAGCCTGAAATTTATCCGCTTTCTAACCTCTTGTCCCAGCTTAGCACTTCCCTTTGACCTCTAAGGGCCTAACGCCAGAGCGACAGTATCCAGGGCAGTCGGACTTAGTCGCTTCCACACATACCCCGAATTAGGTTTCACCATGGCTGCCCTTCAGTCTCTCGCTCTGACCCCTCTCACCTCGGCCCCTAGCGCGTCGCTCGATAAGACCTCCAGGCACGTCCCTCAGCTAACCTCCACTTACTGCTCGCGTTTCATTTCCTAGTTGGGTGTCCTATCACTGCATTCTACAGCCCTAGTGTTCAGACAAGCCTAGCGCTCAACTGTGTCCGTTTTACAGCCCTGGTGCATTTTGATAAGCCATCGCACGTCTCTAATAACCTGTTGATAATCGACTGTTGTGCTTTGTTCGCCTGCTCTGTTCGCCTGCTCTGCTCGCCTGCTGCAGCGAGTTCTGGGGAAGCCGGACGTCCTTGAGCCTTCCCGCCAGGAGAGATGGCGCCGTCTGCGCTAGAATGCCCAAGGTCAGGAATCTCTCGTTTCTAGTCTCATTGTTACATTTGAGGCGCCTGAGAAGTCGTCTGCGCTAGAATGCCCAAGGTCAGGAAATCTCTCGCTTCTAGGCTCGCCGTGCTCGATGTCAAGGTGTCTCGGTCTATTCGGTCTGTCTCGGTCATGTCACACAGGAAGAAAAGAACTTGTCTTTTGGTGAACGAAGCTCCCTGGGAATGCCGATGGCATCCCCTACCTCAAGACGATGTGCATTGTCCTTCCCGTCGGATGCTGTTTTGAGACATCCCCAAGCTCGGTGTGCCTTGTTACTGTTCTCTCATCGACTGCTGTGTTGGGATGTCCCTTGTTCTCCCGTCCGATGCATCATATGCGTCGACCTTCTGTCCAACTGCGCTTTCCCGAAGACGGTACTTTGGCCGGCGGCAGTTGGCCCAAGTCAGCGTGGAACGTACCGAACATTTTGGCTGGTTCTGTACCTTGCTGGCTTGCGTATTGCAGGTGGAGATGGCCATTTCTCGCAAGAAGAAGGAGCAGACGGTCGAGAAGGCCCGCCAGCAGCTTGAGAATTGCAACCTCGTCGCCAGCATCAACTACAAGCGATTCACGGTAACCCGTTTCGCTATGGTTTCGTTAGACGTGGTTGGTAATATTGAGAGAGCAGCGAGCAGAAATATGAGAGGATCCGGCGTCAGCTGAGAAGCGTTTCGCACAGCGTTGCCTCGCCAGGAACGGAATGCATCGTGAGCGGTAAATGCGGTCATTTTGGATGAACGGCTGAGCAATGCGGAAAGATGCATTGGGGCCGTCGACCTTGAGAGGGACATGTAGTGTGACCATTGACAGAAACAGGGTTTAGAAGGGAACTCGTTGAAGATTTCAGCCTGCATGGCGATAGTTTTAGGTGAACGGATAGGTTGAGGATGGATTTAGCACAGTGATTGGTGATGGGCGGCCGGATACGATTGCGAAATTGCGCCACGTCAGCTGCGCGCATAGGCGTTCGCATTGAGATCGATGGCAGCGGAAGGGGAGGCGTATTGCAGGGCGGAGGGGAGCCGAGAGGTGGGATGGGGGAGCCGATGGGGAGCAAAGGGGGGTTTGAAAGTGAGTGAAGGGGGAGTGGGGAAGCTGAGTTCGAATCGAGGGGCACGGAGGCATGCAGCGGCGATTAGTGAAGTTGACGCAGCGGGGATGGAGTTAGGTTTTTGCGCTTAGTAAATGGAGCTGGTGGTCCGTTCTGGTGTTTTCCGACAGGGGAGTGGCGGAGGGTTCATCTGATGGCGCACTGGCAGACGAGTCTGTAGCGGGGAGAGGGCGAGCGCAGGGGGAGCGCAGGGGGGGATGGGGGGGCCCAGGGGGAGCGCCGGGGGGCCCCAGGGGTAGCCCAGGAAGAGCCCAAAGGGAGCCCAGGGGGTGCTCAGGGGAGGGTAAACCCAGGCAGCGACCAGGGGAAGCCCAGGGGAGCCCAGGGGGAGCCCAGGGGAGCTCGGGGAAGCCCGGTGGGAGCCCGGGGGAGTCGGTGGGGGACCGGGGGGGAGCCGGAATGCAGCCGGAGGGGACCTGGGGGATGTGCTTGCGATTGTGAAGCGTGCGGATATCGATTGCGGGGCCGCGTACGTGCGTCTTGCCTCTGCGCTTAGTGTGGCGAACTGAAGGGGAGCCTAGGGGGAGCCTAGGGGGAGTTCAAGGGGGAGTTCAAGGGGGAGTTCAAGGGGGAGTTCGAGGGGGAGTTCAAGGGGGAGTTCGAGGGGGAGTTCAAGGGGGAGTTCGAGGGGGAGTTCAAGGGGGAGCCGAGGGGAGCCGAGGGCGAGTCCAAAGGAGAGTCCCAGGGGAGTCAAAGGGGAGCCGAGGGGGAACTGCGAGGCGTGCGGATATTGATCGCGGCCCTGCGTAGAAGCGTCGTGTCTCTGCGCTTTTTGCGGTGACTTTAAACCGCGAGTGATGAGACGATTGTTGACGCGGTTCAGATATAGCGATTGTAGTTCACGTACGGACATCCCCGTCTGCTCTCTTTGCCTCGGATCATAGGTGCCTCGCTCGGTTTCACAGGTGCCTCGCTCGGTTCATAGGTGTCTCGCTCGGTTCACAGGTGCCTCGCTCGGTTGACCCTGTGAGGCACCTTTGAAGTTAGCGTCGGGACAAGCTCCTCATCCTGCGTTGATGCCCCGGGCATGTTTTCCCCTCTTCCCCTTCCTTACCCCCCGCCTTCCCCTCCTCCTCCTCCTCCTCCTCCTCCTCCTCCTCCTCCTCCTCCTCCTCCTCCTCCTCCTCCTCCTCCTCCTCCTCCTCCTCCTC